GATAATTAGATAACATTCGGTAAAAATTTCGCTTGCAGTAATTTCTACATGGTAAGTGCTCCGCCAATATTTGGTTTCATAGGGATTCGGATACCTTCCTCATTGAAGTAGTAAAGAAAATTCGCTTAAGTGCCTTTTTCGGTTACGTGCACAAGTTTTTCGTGCAAAGAAGGATGTGCAGCTAAGCAAAAGATACTGTATATCGTTAGTATGGTATGGAAAGGGCTTAACTCACATCGTCGCTGAAATACAAAAAGCCGTAACTTCAATATCTTCCGTCTTCAAAAGAGTCACAACTCAAAATAATACGTTTGTCAGAAAATGCGAAAAACTATTTCTTAGCACATGATAATCATATGGGATTCGAACCGACGATCCCACTGACTCAGCCAGTTGCCTACGCACTAATTTACAAGGCTAACTTAGCACAGTGCGCAGGCAACTGGCTGAGTCAGTGGGATCGTCGGTTCGAATCCTACTGAAAGAAGTCTGATGAGGAAATGTGGTGATTTCTGAAATAGCTATCACTTCTACCATTTTTCAAATTATTGTTGCTTTTCCACAATAAGTTTTTCATTAAAAACGGCCTCGAGCTCAATAAAAATTGTTGAATGTTAAAGTTTGTAAATATTTTAAAGTAACTAAATATATATAATATCATTGTAACTTAAAAATAAAATTTCGTTTGTGCTTTATTTAAGTGGAAACATAATTATAAAAATGAGATCCATAGCTGCGGCGTTATTGCTTGAAGAGGAGAACTAGTCCCAGATTGCTGATGCGGAAATTAAAAGGCGAGGATTTAGGGACTTGTTTGATCTTTCTCAGATGAGTGAAGAGTTATAAATTCATCATGAACTGTATTACTCATCGCTCAAAGCCAGTGAAATTTATAAACGTTTTTTGAGCACTCCACAACATTTGCATTTACTACAGAGTGAAAGCTTTGAACGCAAATGAATTCCATTTTGAAGGCCGTCAGGAGGAGGGGAAGAACAAAGCTCCATAGAAATTCGAGTTCGACAACATACGCACCTCTTTTTAAAAAGTTAGTAAAAACGAGTGCAATAATAAAAGCATCTTTTTTTATGTAACTTCACATTTTATGTATGTATGTATGTAGTAAAGCACTACAAATATACCAGCAGAAATACTCTTCACATGTGTACATGAGTAAATGGAACATATATTTTAGAATACTTAAAAAGATAGGAACAAAAAAGAGAACATCATAAATTTGAGGAACTGAGCAATGTTACTTAACAGCGCTCTGCTACATAAAACACTGTTCCGCTTTTCCAGAGTACTTTAGTATGTTGATTGCATTCAGTAGTATTTGAAAACTTCATACCCACTAGAACTTGAGGGGAGATCTCCCTATGTGAGGAATAAAAGAGTACTCCCCTTAACCTGATTTCTGAGCAATAAGGGAGGTTTGTCGGTTTTGTACTCCTTTATTACTCGTTTAGGAATCAAATAGGAGATCTCCTAAGCGAGCGACGAAATAATACTCCCTGAGGCATGATTTGGGACCAATAAACGAGATTTGTCGGTTTTGTCCTCCTGTATTGCTCGCTTAGGAGCGTAATGAGAGATCTCCCAAGCGAGCAATTAAAGAATGCTCCCTGAGGCATGATTTGGGAGCAATAAGCGAGATTTATCGGTTTTGTACTCCGTTATTACTCGTTTAGGATTAAAAAGTGATGTCTCCTAAACGAGGAATCCAAGAGTTCAAAAGAAATTTTGTGTTTTCGGAAAAATTTATCATAGAAAAAAAAAACCAACAGAAAATATCTCTTATAGACGCATAAGGGGGACACAATAATCTAATTTGGATAGCACACAGATTTTAATAAAAGTCCGTTGGTATGTACCTCATCTTTTGTTTAAATATATTAAGTTTTTTACTTATAAATATACCGTTAAATACTTTTCAGATTGCGCAAATTAGTGTTTGCATTTAAGTAAGACCCCCGGGCTTAAACATCGCATGGGTGACAAAGATATCAGATAAGCAAAGTCACCTTCACAATTTCCCCGCTTGGTGGATTCCTGAACAGGCAAGCATCCTTGACACCCAGGAAATCATTAAAATGTCCGTTATCATTGCTCTCTTATTACTCCTATAGGAGGCTTTCGGGATGCCTCTAATGGGAGCACTCCCTTATTGCTCGTTCGGGAGGAATATGGGATGTTTTCTATGTGCACTCCCTTGTTGTCTTTTTTGGAGGTTTCTGGGAGGTAACTATGGGAGTACTCCCGTATTGCTCTATTAGAAGGTTTATGGGATGATAATTCTGTGTGTGCTTCCCGATTGCTCGTTTAGGAGGTAAAAGGGACTACTCCCCCTCCTAGGACATCCCATGTTAAAGGGAGTATACAAAATTACATGCCTATACACAGAAGCATAGGGAGCAATGGGGAGTATTCGTATACTCCCAAGGGAGTACTCACCGAGCAATCGTACGATGCTCCCAAGTTCTACTGGGTAGGAAGTATAGGAATACTTATGGTGCATTTACATGGTATGAAGCCATATGAACTGTTGATACGCTAAAATAGAGGGACTACATGTTCTTATGAGGAATTCAATGATATCGAGTGGGATGCATATAATAGATTTTTTCATATGAAAAATTATGGGGAGATACTGTAAACATACTGTTGTGATACTGTTAAGCATATGAAATTATAGCAAGTTGGATTTTCATACATCTTCCCATAAAAAGTTTAACAGATGCAGAGATACCAAGGGGGATTTTTCCCATTTTGATGCCTTTTTAATATAAAAACCCACCGAAAAGGAGGAAAGCGGCAACTCCGCCATTCACATACATGTCAAAAGTATGAATTTTAAAAATTAAAAACAATAAAGAAACAAATTCAAAACAAAGAAATTCTTTGTACTAGAACTTTTTAAATTGAAGCCACTCACGTTTAGTGGACAATAAAAATACGAAGAACTATGATAACAAACTTACAACAAGACATTACAGAACATTTTAATGAGCTTTATATCACGTTTAAGTAAAAATAAGCCTATATTTTCCAAGCTGGCAAAGAAATGAAAATTTGTATTTTTTGTTGTTTACACAAAGACTTGCCAAATATACATATAAGTCAAAATTATAGAAGGCATGTATACTTCTCCCTTTCATTTTTTCATACAGTTTATGCTTCTTTCTGGCTTTTACAAAAATGCAGAGATACCGCACTTATTTCGGTACAATATGATCGTAATGTATTTTCAATTCGAAATCAAACAAAAACATCCCACGAAAATGTTTGCGATTTTAGAACCATTAGTGAATATTTGCAAACTACTGCAAATAATAGAGTGCCATATCTTACAAAGTTCAGAGTATTAACGAAACAAACAAGCATTTTATGGCTTCATGTTTCCTTCAAACCGCATTGCTATTTTTTCTAACTTTTCCTTTTGTTTAGCGCTGTACAAAATTACCTATTAAGTTATATCTTTTAATTTATACATGTGAACTATTTTCAATGAGCATTTTTTCATTTGCTCCAGAATTTTGGGTACATTTTCTTATAGTACCTCTCATTCTTTTTTATATTACATATATACACTCCGAAGTTCGGGATAGTATTTTGAATATACCAGCAATATATGTAAAAGTAGTGGCGGCTGCTGTAGAGCATTACGCAGAGCCTGAGTTCAAGCCCAGTTTTTCTAATAGTGGTTGCCCCTCTGTTGGTAATAGTAAACCTCCGTGTGTATTCTGTCATGGAAACAACTTCTCATTAAAATACAATTGCCGTTCGGAGTCGGCGTAAAACTGTCCTTTACTTTGTGTGACAAAATCACGTACGCCGCATATCGGAGGAGAAGCTACGCCAAACGCTAACATATTGTTCAAGCGATATACATATTCGTCGTTTAAAATACAAAAGCGCGTATCGCGGTTCTGCAAAACCTCGGAACTGAAATTTGTGCCAAAAAAGATATTTGGACATCGGAAGCCCCTGACATCAAGCCCTTAGCCATTTATAATAAAATATCGATATAATAAAATATCGACTTAGACATAAGGAGAGAATATTAAGTTTAAAAGAGAGAACCGTTTTTAAAATTTAGGCAACCTCCCATACGAGGTTTTGCATTTCCTTGATGCGCGGTTTTGTACTTTAAACGAAGATATGTAGAAATATTGCATACATATTTTGGTGCCTTTTCAAGTATAAAATCCACTGAGAAACGGAAGAAAACGGCATCCCTATGATTTCAACTTAAGCCAAACGTTTCGTAAACAAGCAATTCTGAACAAAAAACTGTTTTTCCACAAAGATGTTTAAATGGAAGCATTACAAATATGGAAAAATAGCAATCCACAAGGCTTTATTGGCAGCAGGTCCTTTTTAAAGCACATTTAACAAAAAAATAAGCTTCTAGTTTCGAAGCTAGCACAAAATAAAATTTTTTTATTTGTTGTTTACAAAAAAAATATTGTCTAGTATACAAGTCAAAATTGTTAAATATATATCGCTTTCATTCATTTTTTCATAGAGTTGGTGCTTCTTTTATAGGAATATTCATACGGCTTATGAACAGATTCATACCATGTAAATCAGTGTCCGGCAAAAAGAGAACCCAACAAGCAAAATAAACTTAAAGAAAGGTTTTTTTTAGTTTTCAATTATAAACATTAAGCTTACAAAACGTTGATTTTTTGTTTATAAAACGCTTGAAAGTAAGCGTAATATAATCGAAAAGGAACATTGGTTATAAGCGTAGAAATATAAACTTGTAATAAATGTTCAAAAGAAAGCATTTTATAAGCGTAAACGTGTAAACTTATAATAAAGGTTCAAAAAAAGTTGTTTATAAGCGTATGAATATAAACTTACTAAAAATTTTCAAAAGAAAGCTTTTTATAAACATTTTTACAACCCTTTATTTAAAGGCATTTCATTAAAAACCCATACATAGTGTTCCAGCTCCGAGGGGCGCGAGAAATAAAAAAAACTAGCGTTTTTTGCTTAGGTTACACGCGTACAATACTGGGACGGGCGCAAAACCGTACTCCACACTTTACGCTGTTTTTATTTCCTATAATGTGTTTAATTAGGGTTAATTCGATTATAAAATATAAGACATTTATACCTACATTAGTTTTCGCTCCCTCTCAATCACAATATAACCAGTAAACAACCTTCGGTGAATTCGGCGACTGCCTTCCTCGGGGATGAATATGCTAGGGATGAAATTATTGGTACACACGCCTTCAAAGCACGCAGGGTTGCTTTTGA